AATACATCTACTTATACAAGTAATTGGATGTATCCTAATGACATTTTGACAACCTCCTAATTTTATTCTGAAGTGTAGTTGCACATTTACATATTCAATCCTCATTCTCAACACATTTTTAATACTTCTTCACCCATAATCCAATACTTATTTTTAATTTTTAATAAAATAACAAATATAATTGCATATTTTTTGGGATTTTATTATTTATTCCATGTCTTAAACAGAAAAATTAGTCACTATATACGTATCATTAAAAGAACAGATAAATATGCACACCGGTTGAATCAAATAACCTAAATTACTTTTTAAATGAAACTTTAGAATTCGACTTTAATTTGATTACGCATACGATGGTGATAGATGATAACAACAACAAGAACAACAACAATAACAATAACAACAACAACAACAACAACAACAACAACAACAACAACAATAACAATAACAATAACAATAAGTCAATAACAATAACAATAGTGATGGTAACAATAATAATGGTGACACTAACAATAATAATAATGATGACCATGGTGATGGAAGACTCGTGGTGTGGTGGTAATGTTCATATGTTTACTAATACTACTACTACTAATAATATAATAATATAATAATAATACTAAGGTAATCTATTATATATAATATAATAGCAAATTGATTTTGCTACAGTGTTCCCGCCAATATTCATGAAGTCCATCCTGCTTAACATACGGAGAAACGCACTTGATTGTTCTGACAATTAATGCTGCCTGTATTTTTGCCTCTGTGCAGCCTTAAGTGACCACCTGTTTTATTATTTGTCCGTTAAAATTCTAAGTAAACGTTTGATTTCCCCATACTCACGTCGGTGCAAGTAGTGTGCAACTGTTGGTATTCCTTTACGAATTCAAGACATTGAAGGCATTTTTGAAAAGCTGTCCTTGGAAATATGTTGAATTTATTAAATTGACAGGCTCAATGTTTCTCGACTCTTTACATCATAAGTAGTATAAATAGATATCTCAATGTTTCTCAACTGCATTCTTCCCTTTGTTGTTCGCTCTTTGCAATTGACTTTAGAGATAGTGGTGCTTGCTGATTATTTTGATGTCTTCCTTATTCACTCAAATCCGAAAGAGAGATGGTAGGGCTGTGGGGTATAAAAGACATGAATCAAAGTCTTCAATCTTCATGGACGGAAAGATCGAATTTGGGCTGTCTCAGTATAGTTCAATACAAATGAGAAACACCAACCAAGAATGGAGTGTACACTTTACGTGATGCAAAGGTTAACAAATATAAATTCAAAATAAAATTAGCTATTGTGATAACAAAAAAGTTCATCCAAAAGGTTGTTTCAGTGTTTCTAAAGAAGGGAAAAAGGGTTTAAGAAATGATTGATTTGTTTGTTTCAAGGGTCAAGAGTACATGGGCATATTAAGAAACACCAAATGTCAAAATTCCAAACTCTATTCAAGCAAGGACATATCTACGCTATTTAGGATCACACAAAATGCATACAAGAGATAGTTTGAGTGTTTGCCATGAAGACCATGTCTTTGAAATTCAAAGACACGACTTCCTGTTAATTACTTCTGAATTTACATCTAAATTTACTTTGCTTACATCTTTGATGACACACGAAATTATAGGTAAAAACGAAGGACGCAATTAAATGATTTCTATATTTTGTCCATTTGTTTTGTTTTGTTAATGATCACTTGAAAATATGTCCATGTAGATATTATATAGAAAGTTAAAGGAAATGCCTTGATTCAGCTTTTTCCCTTAAATTTGAGAGGATTAATAAATTTGGTTGCAAGGATTTATATTATTGCAAGGAGTGATAGATTTTTTCTGTTAATATACAAACATATACATTTGTGTATTCATAATCATTTTTTTAAAGTAATTCATAAGCATTTAAGTTTCAGGAAATATCTAAATGCTTAACATGCATATTTCAAATAACGTTCTTATTTATGTTAAATACTCTTCAGTAAACAGATAAATAATACTAAATTCGTCCCACTTAACAAAAGTAAGCATGATTTCAAATCACCCAAAATTTACAAAATTTAATATGAAAGAATCTTATTGAGACAAACCTAATGTAAGGAGTATATCTTAAATTAAAGTAAAATTAGCAGAATGTAAGGAGTATATCTTAAATTAAAATAAATTTATAATGAATATACATGTATATATTTATTATAAAAATATATTTCCTAGATTTTCCTTATTTGTTATTTTAATTCAGTAGAAAAGAATGTTTTTCACAACTTCTTAATGTAAAAACTTTCTTAGGTTTTGGTGAAATTCCTTATTTTAAAGTAGGTATATACATTTGAAAGTGCTCAGACCTTATAATTTTGATGGTGAGATCCTCTTGAGTCTTGAATATGGTTTTCTTCAATGGGAAGCTCCTGCAATAGCAAGAAACGATTGATGTTAGGAAATCAAATACGCCGTAAGTGATTCCTTATACTCAGTACTAAAAGGTTGTGATATACTCATATACGGAGTAATTCATTTCTTATATATATTCACTAGCTTTCAAGCCCGTGCGATGCACGGGTAGTACATAATTTAGCTAACTGTATATTTGATATTTTCGAAATCATATATAATTAATAAGTAATTCAAATTTATATGAAAAATATTTAAATAGGATTTCCACATAAGCATCTCAACTAAACATAATGGTTATGAACCCGATTTTAAAGAATTCATACAAAAGTTTCTTAATTAATTTCACATCCTCTATATTACTTCATTAAGCATCTAAAAAACTATTTTTAAATATTTCTCATTCAACATGTGGTATGAAATAAGTATTTGTAAATTTATTAGTGAGCTCTTACATTGTACTCATTATTTTGTCACATTGAAATGTAATAAAGGGATCATTTTTACAATTTACTCATTTATTTCGTCACATTGAAAATGTCATTAATAAGGATATTTTTAATTAGATTGACATGTTCATTTCTAACTTGGTCTGGAAGATGTCTATTTTATGTATAATAACAACAATAATAATAATAATAATAATTATTATTATTATTATTATTATTATTATTATTATTATTATTATTATGATTGATATTTGATCCGATCTTGTCTAAGACTGAAACCAGTCCAATTAAAAACACCTTAAATGTATGAAGATTTCCTAATTTAGATTAGGAATCTATGTCAAAAGTGATGGAAAATCTAAATTGTAGTTGTAAAAATAAAGAAACAACTAAACATGTTTACTTTTTTTGTTGGGCTAAACGTATTCATGTATGTATGATATGAATTTCCATTTCCATCCTCATAAAAGGTAAGATACTTGGTCAGAAGTTTTAAATGTTTTCATATATGAATGTCTAATAGTATATATCAATTTCATTTTTAAGTTAAAAAAAACTTGTGGTTATAATTTTCATCATTATCTCAACAATTAAGAAAGAATGGTATGATGATGCAGAAAAATACGAAGTATTAACACAATTGCAAATATAAGTCTGATAACTTTAGTCATTATCACATTGAGTTTAGAAAAATAAAATATTACTCCGTACTTTTTAGGAAATGGAACACTATTATTACTTTATTTATAAAATAACTTTGAAGAACAAAATTGATAGGAATTGAACTTGGATGATTTATTTGTTAGGTGCGCAAAACACGGATAATTCACTTCTCAATAGAATGTAATAAAAATAAAAGTATAAAAATAATTAAATTAAATAAAGTCTATGTGCACGGATGAGTATTTATTGTTGTGGTTGCAATAATTGCTTATTTTAATCACAATCCATATTACTACGGAGTAAGTAGTAGATTCTGAAAAAGTTACCAAATAAGGTGGATTTTATCATACGCGACGGTCTTTTGTTTCCATATCAATATGTAATAAAAAAGAATGTAATAAAAAAAAGGTATAAATAGTAATTAAATAATTGTTATATATGATGACATGGCAGGATTATGTGGCACGCCAGATGCTCTTAAAATTCCTCTTTTATATATATTTTTATAAATATCCATATTAATACGGAGTAAGTAGTAGATTCTGAAAAAGTTACCAAATAAGATGGATTCTATCATACGATCTTTTGTTTCCATATCAATATGCAATAAAAATAGAATGTAATAAAAACAATAAAATGTATAAATAGTAGTTAAATAATTGTAATATATGATGACGTGGCAGGATTATGTGGCGCGCCGTATGCTCTTAAAAAGTTCCTCTTTTATATATATATATATATATATATATATATATTGATTTGTGTGTGCGTGTTAGTGTAAGTTTTAGCTGTGATTATAACTCTAACCTTCTGTGAGAACTTAGAACATTTAGGATGTATTTGCCTATTTACTTAATACAAGTTGTGAGCATATTGGTTTGGTTTAACCGAACCAAATCGTACCGAAATCATATGTAAAATTTAGCCGTGAATATAACTCTAACCTTCTTTTAGAACATTTAGGATGTATTTGCCTATTTACTTAATACAAGTTGTGAGCGTATTGGTTTGGTTTAACCGAACCAAACCATACCAAATCAAAGTAAATTTTTTCAAAGTTATCATATCTTTAAAGTTCAAATCTTATAACATCGGTGAAAGTTCTTCCGATCCCTAAGATAATGATGTTACCCCATTTCATGTTTCTAAAAACTTCCATTCTGGATAAAAGTCTGCATGTTCAAATGTCAGAGAGCAAAATTAAACAAAATTGCTATGGGTACCCCAAATATACCCCATTTCATACCCCATATAAAAGCCATTCCAAAAATTTACCCCCCTTTCCATTCCATCCCCTCTCCCTCACGTGTGTCCTCCCCCTCACCAAAAATCCCGCCCCCCAACCTTTTCCCTTCCCCAGACACTTTCGAAAACCACTCCCCCTCCCCACCGTCGAAGTTTACCCCCCTCCCAAATCGTCCCCCACAACCGGCGTCCTCACCCCCACAACCGGCGGCCTCACCCCCACAACCGGCGGCCTCACCTCAAAGCGAACGACTTCGGAAACCCAAGGAAGGAACCACCGTCGTGCACTGTTCACCACCGTCAAACGAACCGCCCTCGTGAAGGTTTTAAGGTCCATTGTTCAAGCTTAACACATATGGCTGAAAGGTATGTAATTTTTTCAACTTTTTTTTGGATTTTTTGAATTGATATTATCTTGGTGTGTAAATTTTGTGTTGTTTGTCATTGTGTTTGTCTGAACACTTTGAACTTGTCTGTGCATGGTTGTTTGGTTGTGTGTGTCACTGCATTTTGAATTCTTGAAAGTTGTCTGTGATGTCATTAGAGTTGTCTGGTCAGGCGTATGAGATGTCTGTCATTTGAAATGAATTGTCTGGCAAGCCATTTGTAGTTGTTTATCATGTGAACATAGTTGTCTGGCAAACCATTAAAATTATTGTGTAGTTGTCTGTTAGGTGAACATAGTTGTCTGGAAAATTATTGTGTAGTTGTCTGTTAGGTGAACATATATAGTTGTCGGGAAAGCTTCCACAGTTGAAAGTATGAACACCCTCAGAGTCTGGCAAGTTTGGTTAATGAGATGTTTTAAATGTAAATTTTGTTAGCTATGAATGCTTTATAATCTATGACCCTTGAATGTAATTTTTGAGTTATGAATGGTTTAAAAACTAAGTAATGTGTCAAACTGTCAAAGCATACCCTTTGGTATGATTTCAACTTTCTGAAATATGAAACTTGGTTTATAAGGTTTCTGGTTTTAAGTATGAACTCCAAGTGTAAAATATCATTCTTACCAGATAACCTTCTTTTACTTATCAGTTTTTCTTGCATTAATGTCTAACAAATTTAAACATTAATTTGTTCAACCGTATAACCTTGTTATGAAATATTCAACACAAATTTAAACATTAATATGTTCAACTATATAACCTTCTTACTAAGGACAGACATAATTTTCTGGCAAACCATTAAAGTTGTCTGGCTCCTCATTTTGACATAGACTTGTTGTGCATGTGATTTGAAATTGCTTATATTGTTGTGGACGTTGTCTGTCCTGTGAACATACTTGTCTGTCAAGTGATATAAAATGTCTGTCCTTCCTTCTGAGTTGTCTGAAATGTTTGATTTGTATTTGTGTTAATTATACAGGTCATTCGAAGTACAAATTCCATTTCGCAAGCACTTTCCAGCCCAGTTATCTATGTGCTCATATTTCAGAGAGGCTGTAAGCTTGGTCAAAGCTGCGCTGACAAAGGACCAATTAGAAGAATTTAAGAAATTGCCATGGGGCCACCTATTATCCGTGCCAGACATGCAATTTTCTGGCCAAATCATCCATTCTCTACTGCTGAGGCTAGTCAAGGACCAACCTAAAGATGAGCTGTGGTTCTTGATTCAAGGGAGGCTGTTGAAGTTTACGTATGCTGATTTCTGTCGCATATCCGGTCTCAAATCATCAGCGGAAAATCCTGTCTTTAATGATGATGAAGAAGTGCATGGGACGCTAATTGATTTGTACTTTCGTGGATCCACGAACATCACGTACAAAATGTTGAAGGACAAGTTGAAGTCATTTAGGCGTACAAAAAAAGGAGATCCTGTGAAGTTAGTGTCTGTTTGTTACATTATGACGGCCTTAATTGCTCGGGATAACAAAACCAAGATAAATTTGGACTATTTCAAGTGGGCTGATGAGTTCGAGAAGTTTAAGATGTATCCATGGGGTTTGGAGTCCTATAACACCATGATTGACAACTTCAAAAGTATCATGAAAGAGCAGCCCACCAGGTTCAGGCAAAGCAAGGCCTCATGTGCTAAGTTCACTCTATATGGATGTCCTTTTATTCTACAGGTATTTTCTCATTCATTTGTAGTTTAATGTTGAGACAGACATTTGTATGTGCACACAAACGACTTAGTAATGAAGACAGACATATTAATTTTATAAATTTTTTTAGGTTTGGGCGTATGAAAATGTGCCTATCCTAGGCGAACAATGCGCTGAACGTATTGGTAATGAAGAAATTCCTATGCTGAACTGGAAGGCCGATGGATTCTTTCATGCACGCAAGTTGAACGAATTGGTTTTCAAGGACAATGATGATGTATTATATCTTATTTTGCTGATTTTTGCATTCAAATAACATCGTATTTTAGTCTTTAAATTTCTGTATAGGTGGAAGATGAATCTGAGAATGACAACTTGGATGAAGAAGTTCAGGACAAGGGTTTCAAAGCCAAAGTGATTGATGAGATTCAAGCGCTCCGGGAGCATGTGGCAGCTTTGGAAAGCAGGTTGAAGTTGATGGAAGACAGATTCAGAGAACAGGGTGGGGTGCCAGAGAAGGAGACTGAGGTAAATAATATTTGATGCCACCACATTCTTTCTGATTTTTTCATTCAGAGTGGTGGTGTTAATACAACGGGTGTGTAGGTTGGTCCGGAGCATGTGACTTTGGACATGGAAGTTGATGGTCATGAGCAGGAGGTTGATGTACTTTGATGTCTTCTTGTGTGTATATTTTGGTTCTCAACATAAAGATGAAGTTGACTGTAGCATAGGTGTTCATGCAGAAGCAGGAGTACAGGAGGTTGAAGATGAGCCAGCGCCCGCCGAAGAAGTAAGTGAAAATTCATATCCCATTGAAAGTGATATTGTCTGTCTACAGACATGTTAAAAGTGTCATGCACTTCATGGTGGATTTAATGTAGGTGGGTGCAGCTGTGGGTGAACCACCTGACCCAATGACCGTAGTACATGATACTACAATTTCAAATGAGATAATATCATCCATCCTTATTGAAGTAAGTGCATACCTATGTGTGATACGAAAATTATTTTAAAGTGACCAATCATTTTAACACTCAAGCATTTGGTTGATTTAATGTAGGTTGCTGACGTTGTGACTGAACCATCTGCACCCATAGCCGTGGTAGATGATGAAAATAATGTTAAGGAGTGTGATGCTACTACTGCTTCGAATCATATGATCTCACCTGCTCTTCTTGAAGTAAGTCAATATGTCTGTCTTTACAACATTAAAATGTCTGTTTACAGACATTTTGACAAAGCCTTGCAATTTATGGTAAAATGTAGGTGGCTGCTGCTGAGTTAACTCCATGTCGCCCAGCTGAAGATGGTTTTTGGGATGATGTTGTGCACGACTTCCAGACCCTTCCCATTCAGATTCCCACACGTCAAGAAATATCCATGGAATTACTTATGAAACGGCCAAGATACCCATCCAAATACGTGGTCATCCCTTTTACAGGCCCAAGAGCAAAGCGGAGGAAAGCCATCACTGAACCGAGTCACACCATCAACCCAATCTTCATCCATGAAAGCCTGGAGGACTGGAATGAACTGAAGGATTGGATAGAAGCAGATGACAGTCAGCCTCCTTACTCTGTGGTTTTACTTATTCCTGATGAATTTGAAGTGAGTAGAGGCTTTTTTCAAGACCTTGTGACATGCAACTTGTGGTTGGCAACCTATGTAAGTTCATGTACACCTTTTTATGATGATATAGTGTGCAATTTGAAGTACTTGACATTGTTTTTTTTTAGCATGTTGATGCCCTAACATTCATTTTGAATAGAGACAATGCGCCGGATAACACTACAATACTTAGCCCCTATCTTGTGGTACATATAAGATTACATAGGTGTAATTTGCAGTATGAATAGGGTAAACCAACTAATACATAAAGCATTTTGTAGGAACAAATAATGAGGAAGTCCAAAGGCAATGTCAAAGATTGGGCTGCAAACAAACTTTTAACCAAACAAGATTGGCGATCATTGGAAAGGGTAAAATATAAATTGTTAACACAACGTTACAAATACTTTAAATGATTAATCCAATTTTATTTTTTGGGGCCAGGTTTTAATTCCTTTGAACATTGAAAACAAGCATTGGATTTTGGCTGAAGTTGTCATTGATAAGAAGCGGGTTAGGGTTTATGACTCAATGAAGACGGCAAGAAGTGTATTTTATGTTAGGGAACTGTGTGAACGCCTGCCCTACCTCCATCGGGTGTTTACGATGTCACTGGAAGAGGGTGAAGCACAACCATGGGTTGCTGAGTTAGTTGAGGGTGTTCCCCAACAGGGTGGGGGGTATTACATTAAACTTTATTTACATTACATATATTGTCTGTCTGCATATGGTAAATGTTTGTCTTCTTTGTAATTGTCTGTCTACAGGTCAGGAGAGTGCGGAGTGATGATTGCAGCCTTTGCAGAGCATCTTTTAATGGGAAAGGACTTGCTTCCAGGTTGTGAGTATGCCAACATGTGGAACAAGAGATGCCAATATGCTGTTCGATTGTGGGGAGTGAAGAAGGTGGAGGAATCATAGGAATTCTTCATTAGCTTGGGAAGCCTATTTTTGTGGGTTAATAGTCCAGCTTTGCAAACATTATGAATTTCCATGTACGATGTGTGTGGAACATTATGTTTTTTTTTGTGTTTGTTGCAAACTATACAAAGGTGGCATTTGAGAAAAAGCGGTTACATGAACATAATTTCAGCAAATGCAATTAAGTTTTTTATGTTAATATGTCTGGCAGGGAATTCAATTTTGTCTGTGTCGGTATGTTAATATGTCTGGCAGGGTATTCATTTTTGTCTGTCTCGGTATGTGAATATGTCTGGCAGAGTATTCATTTTTGTCTGTCTCGGAAGTTTCATTCCAACTACAAATCAATCAAAACACAAACGAGGGAGTTTCAATGACAAGTCATTTCAAATTCCAACTAAAAATTCATTCTTAACTACATACAACGGTCATTCATAATAAGCGTAGATTCAAAACCAACCCCTTATCATTCACACAGGGTGTTAATACGCTCAATTCATAAATTTCATTTGAGGCGTCAGTTGTGTGCATTCCACTAGGCTTCTTCCTTGTTTTATTTGGTTTTGGATCCGCCTGAAAATTTCATTACAAACTATAGTTAATAAATTAAAAGACCAAACCTAAAACAATATAATAAAATGTATATGTAATTGCATTAAACCTTCTGATTCTTCTTTGATTTTTCAAGAGGGCCCTTTATGCGGTTTTTCCTCGGTGCACCCTTCCTTTTTGTGATCTTCGGATCTTGAATTGGACCCGACGCCTCCCCATGCACATTTGTATGTAATTGTGGAAGTTGTGTCATGACACCACAAACGGAATAAGTTGTAGTTGATCCAGCACACTTATGCAATTGGTCTTGCATCCATTGCATAACGCTTTTATACTTTTCCTCATCATCGGCAATGACATTTGCAAGATCTTCAAAAGTCTTACACAACTTGTCATACCGTTGTTGCTCCACTGTTGTGATCCACCCATCATAGTTTATTTTCACTCGTGTGTAAGGGCGCTTTACATCTTGCCTCCATCTCCGCATGATGTACACCTCAGGCAAGATTTTTACATCGTTGCGCTGTAGAACCATAAACATATGTCTACACACAATGCCTCTAAATTCAAACAAATGACAACTACATTTGCATTCACACAAGCGAGAATCATATTCCACTATGAAGTAAACAGTCTTGTAAAAGTCCTCTGTTATTTTAACTTCTTCTTTGATATGATAAATTTTACCGCCATCCCATTGAATGATGTCACAATAAAGCTTGCCAACCACTTCATCTCGAAACTCATTGAACTTCGCCATTGTGTATATTCCTTGCATTTGTTTCTCCATAGGAAATTTCGAAACACACGGTACCAATTTTGAAAATGACTCAGCGTCCGCTTGAAACTCTTTTTCAGCCTTAAATTTTAAGGCACAACCATATTGCTCCACGAATTGTTTTAGACTTGTTTTAGAATGCACAAAAAGGTCGAAGAAAGCGTTGATGCTCTCACTTCGTTGAGTTGTGGACATACCTGCCCAGAATGAAGTTTTCAAGTAACAAGGTACCCACCTTTGGCGTTCTTCAAACATGACCTTAAGCCATTCATCATCTTGAAGTGAATACCTATAATGAATACACAACTCATTAGTTACAACCAATTTGTCTAGCACAGACAAATTTTTTCTGTCAGTTGGACATACACAAGCATTATGTCCCAGACTACTAATGTCTGGCACAGACAAATTTTGTCTGTCAGTTTGATATACACAAGCATTATGTCCCAGACTACTATTGTCTGGCACAGACAAATTTTGTCTGTCAGTTTGACATACAAGCATTATGTCCCAGACTACTAATGTCTGGCACAGACAAATTTTGTCTGGCAGTTTGACATATAAGCATTATGTCCCAGACTACTAATGTCTAGCACAGACAAATTTTGTCTGTCAGTTTGACATTCAAGCATTATTCCCAGACTACTAATGTCTAGCACAGACAAATTTTGTCTGTCAGTTTGACATATAAACATTATGTCCCAGACTACTAATGTCTGGCACAGACAAATTTTGTCTGTCAGTTTGACATACAAGCATTATGTCCCAGACTACTAATGTCTGACACAGACAAATTATGTCTGTCAGTTTGACATACAAGCATTATGTCCCAGACTATTGATGTCTGGCACAGACAAATGTTGTCTGTCAGTTTGACATATAAGCATTATGTCCCAGACTACTAATGTTTATCACCTTTCCAAATGTGAATTCCAACCAACTTCAAAGTCAACAGGGAATTGAGAGTCATATATTGCATCATGTATACCGGCCATAATTTCATCTTTATGGGTAAACCCACCCAACTTCTCCGGAAGCTTCTTCATTATGTGCCATAAACACCATCGGTGTCGTGTATTTGGAAACACTATTTGGATGGCATTTTGCATA